ATGCCTTTGCTCTCAGTTTACATTTTACAGCAAAGTGTAGTGACAGTAGATATGCCTTTGAAGCTCCGAAGTAGTTCATGACTTTGGAATGTTATGGAAGCAATGCGGTTTCCGTACCTCCAATGGAGATAAAATTAAAAATAGTCTGTATGTTCAGGAATATTGGATGCTATACTTTTACCCGATACTTTAGTTGTTACCAAGATTCTAGGATGTCTACACTGGACTCCCTGGAAGTCCTGGAAATCACCTTGCTGACATTTCTGCTAAGAACGCCGCTCTGAACAGCATCAGCAGCAGTCAAACCCCTGCCACGGTCCGAGATGTTTCTCCCGTTGATAACTTGGAAAAACTGGCCAGAGAAACCCAGCAACTGGCTTCGGAAAAAGAAAAAGATCGAAAGGCTAACAATTGCTGGTTTGATGGGAAAGCTCTGGTTCAAACCAAACCACCACCCAGTCCTACCAGAATTTCTGGAATCTCTGCTCCTCACCATTCTACATGCATTAAACCATTAGGCCACTGACAAGGCGACAGCCTTCATGAATGAATATTGGTGGGGAGATATTAACACAATCACAAAAAGTGCCTACCTTAAGCGTCCCACCTGGGTAAAGTAGAACCCAGGAAGCCCATTCACATTGCTCCTGGGCATTTAAAACTGTCTGACAGACCATTTGAGGTTTGACGAGTATATTTTATACAGTCTCCCCATCTGATGAATATAAATTATGTTTTAGTCTTGATATGTACGTTTTCTCACTGGACTGAAGCTTTCCCCTGCAGACAAGCTAATGCCTCTACTGTGGCTGAAGTCCTGTTAGAGAAGATTGTTCCCACCTGGGAAACTCTTCTTACACTTCGGTGATGGAAGCAGCCATTTTACTGGTCAAGTGCTACAGCAAGTCTGTGCTATTTGGCTAGTTCTACAACACTCTCATTATGCTTACTAACCTCAGTCTCCAGGCTTAGTTGAACGTATTACTGGCATTAAGATTCAATTGGCAAAATTTGTAGAAGCTCTTCAAATACCTTAGCCAAAAGCACTGCTGCTAGTCATTTTAAATCTCAGGTCTATCCTTTTTGGGACTCATAAGCTTTTACCTTTTGAGCTAATTACACGACACCCCATGCATTTGATCTATAGTTGGTAAAAGGAGACATATTTCAATATGGTAAAAGCTTAATTCCTTCTATTGAAAATCACCCTGCCCTGACTGGTGTAGCTCAGTGGGACGGGCATCATCCTGCCAACCGAAAGGTTGTCTGTTCAATTCCTGGACAGGGCACCTGCCTGGGCTGTGGTCAGATCCTCGGTTGGGGGGCAAGAGGCAACCAATGGATATTTCTCTCTCTCTCTTTCTCCTTCCCTTCTAAAATAAATAAATAAAATCTTTAAAAAAAAGAAAAGAATCATGCTGTGGTAAAACAATCTTTTCATAGTGCCTACCAAGAAAAAAAAAAACCTCAAAGTGACATCTCAAAAAAGCTTCTCTCCAGCCTGGCGGAAAGGGCCCTCACCAGGCACTGATGACCAGCCCTCGCGCTGCTGAACTCCAGGGAACAGACTCTGGATCCGCGCGTCCCTCCGGAAGAAGGCTCCAAACGCCAGTGCGCTGTGCACAGGCAACCTGAATCTAGAGCTGTCAAAAACTAAAGCAGGCAACCTCTGAAGGAAACAAGTCGCCAAAATAACTGAATCTGGCCTGTACAATGCTTTTCTTACTATTAATTCTTATTTAATTTTTCTCTTCTTCTTGGAAGAAATATGCCCTTGTTTACTTTTCCTAAGCTATGGGGGGGGGGAATTTTTTTTAAAAAAGAGAAAGGGGGACCTTTTCTGGTTATTAAATCAGTCATGAAGAACTTTGATCTATCCAAGATAATAATGGTCTTTGTTTCATTATCGGCAGGTCTGAGCTCCTGGTTTAAATTCATCATGTTACTATGTTGTCCTAATTGTTTTATATTCTTATTAAGTTCTGTGCCTGTCACCTGTTAACCCTGAACCCGTTCCCAGCACTTCCCCTCTGATGGGAGAGACAACACCCAGAAGAGGTCCTCCCCAACCTGGAGTGACAAAAAAGCGAAGTTGTAAAAACTGACTGTTGATCAGCGATGCTTTCAAGGAAAGAGGATAAAAACTGACTTTAAGAAAACAAGATCAGCTGGGTGGGTCTATGGGAGGGGCATGGGCTTCTGGAAGTTCCAATCTGCTACAGCACTAGGAGAGGCCAGTAGAGTCTGGCAGTCACTCTAGGTTCCTAATAAAGCTCTAAGGTACTATCTTCCCCTTCCCTTAATTTCCTCTTCCGCTCTGGGCGGGCAGGCCTACTCATTACTTGCCTTGTCTGTGCGCAGCTGGTTACAACCCTTTTTTCCCCAAACAAGCCTAGTCGACAATAGTTAATGAAGGTAACCCCCAAATAGTACAAATGTAGCCCAGGCATAAAATTTAAGAATAAATTATCAGAATATCATACTAATAAGCAGTTTTCATTGTGACCACAACAGTACCCAGCCCACTTTAAGAGAACGAAGCAAAACCGAACACTCAACAATGTAAAGGTCCAAGGTGGCTGCCTACAGTGCTTGTCCACTGGGGTGTCATGTACAAGGAGCTCCGTTCTCTCCCTCCACTTCTCCCACTAACTTGAACCCAAAAGGCAGGAGATGCTTTTCCTAGGTCATAAAAGCTGCCATCATAAAGCAGATCAGGAAAAAATAATAATAGAAATGTTTTCCTTCTGACTGATTTCCTGCCTGTAAAATAGGTGAAAACCATCACTCTCCCAGGTTGTTGGCAAAATTACACTGAATAACGGAAGACAGTGCCCAGCTGAGTGCTGGATACAAGCTGCCCCAAGCTCTTCAGTGTGTCTTCCTGCTACCCCTTCCCACGCAGACCTGGAAGGTGGAGCCAGGCTTCTCTTCCAGCCTTGGGGAATAGAATGCGGTCCAAGACAGGGGCTGTGGCATTCGCAGGAGGCCTGGGATGGATCCCCAGAGGGACAACTGAAAGCACTGGGACACGCCAGGCCTGTGGCCCTGCCCCGCCACCACCGCCTCGCTTGATGCCTGGGCTCTTGCACTCACACCCCCACGCCCCGCGGCACAGCTCCCTGCCCCGGGCTCAGGCGCCCCTGCCGCCCCCTCAAGGAGCCATTCAAGCAGGAGCAGCCACTGCTGGGGCGGCGACCATGTGCCCTGCGGCCTTCCCAGCACCAAAGCACCGGCACCCACCCTCCCACACACCCTCCCACAGGGGCCCCCACTGCTCCCAGGGTTTACAACCGCCCTGCAGACAGCCTTCCCTCCCCTCCCCTCTGACACATGAAGGGGGGCACACCCGGGGCCCAAAGCTGGAAAGGAGCAGGGCAGGTCCGCCGTCTCCGCTGTATCAGGACACACAGCCTGACTAAGCTTCTTAAACAACCTCACAGTTCCTACTGACAGACAGGCAGCTGGGGAGGAAAAGCCTAGAACAAAAATGGGGCCGTTCCAGCAAGTGCACAGCGAGGACCTGGAGGAGGCAGACAATCGCTCAGCACTGGGCCTCACCCGACGTAATTATTCCTATAGCCCAAGGACGTGCGCTCCGAGCAGTATAGGCTGGGGCGGGGCATAACAGGCTGCCCCGCCCCGCCCCCGACACAGTCCAAGTGCACAGCGGGGATTCCAATCCTCGGCCACCCTCCCGCTACTGCCTAACCCGGTCCCCTGGTCACCACTCCCAGCCTGGGTCTTTGAAAATCCCTACTAGCAAGGAGGAATCAAAACCACAACAATATGGTGTCCCATTTTCCAAAATGAATTAAAGTTCATTGTAGCAAGAGTATAGGGAAACAGAAAAAGCTATGGACTCTTGGGGGGGGGGGGGGGGGCGGGGGGGGTACAATGGTTCAGCCATCTTCTGGGGAACAATTTCTCATTGTCTAAACGAAAATATAAAATCTAACCCACTGACACAGCAATTTCACCTCTAAAGACTTACAAAGTATAAAGTGCACATGGACATACGACACATACAACAGAATACACTACAGTGCTGCAGGAATTAGCAAAATCATAAACAGGATATAATCTAAAAAGAGATTCATAAGAGTCAAGAGTAAAATACATGGGTCCACCCATGTTTCTTTACCCACACAGTAAAACATTATGCTGTTGTTAAATAGAGTAAGAGAAGTCTGCATGGACCGATATAAAACTTCTAATGGTATTCGTTATGAGCTTCACGATATAACAAGTATGGATATATTTACCGATATATATGAATACTGCTTCTCTAAATTTTGAATTAATTTGTTAAATAAAAAACATTTAAACCTCTGTGATACCGGTAACGTTAGTTTGGCATTTGGTTTTACTTTTATTTCGTTAACGGGAGAAATAAACGGGGGCGGCCCTCAACGTGCCGTTTTGGTTCGTTCGTTTGCTTTCGGCCGCGCAGCACGCACTCCCGCTCGGAGCGTCGCAGCCCCGGCCCCCGACCCCCGGCCGCGCTGGTGAAGGTCAATTTGAAAGCCGTTTACTTTGCAGGAAAGAGACCGCAAAGGAAACAAGCGGAGATCGGATTCTGAACGGAAACGCCTTCAAGTCTGGTGAAAAGCGACATTTTGCGGGTTGCCAGCTCAATGACCTGCGATAGCCAAGTCTTAGAATTTAAACATAAGTGTAAAAAATAAAAATAAAAATATAGAAAGCCAATTTCCGTGTCCCCTCCTCGAGACTGCGGGATTTCCCAACCTGTCCTTGGACCGCTTCCCGAACCTTCCCTATAATGACTCATCCGTAATTAGTTGCCGGAGAAATGCAGCGCGAGCCCGTTTGCTCAGCCCGGTTAGCTCCTGCCTCCCCGGCACCCGTCTTCCCCCGACTCGGCTCGTGGTCCGTCCGGAGGATAGGCCCGGACATGCCCCGGGTACCCCGTCGCGTACGCTTCCCCCTCCCGGCCACCAGGCGCGCCTTTCCGGGCCAGGAACACCGGCAGGTCTCACCTGTACGAAATAAAAAGCACCGATCAGGATGTAGAGGTGAGACAGCCAAGACCTGCCGCCGAGAGCTGGGGCGCGCGAGAGTGCCCGCCGCCCGGAGCCGTCGGGGCGCGCTCCTGGTCCCGGCAGCCCGGAATCCATGTGGAATCTTCGGCTCGGTCCCGCCAAAAGAAACTCCACAGCTCCTCCAAACAACTACTCAGAGGGGAGGGCGAACGCCCGGCCTTAAATGGTGGAGTAAGGCGCTGGGCGGTGTCCCGCGCGCCCTATAGCGGCACCCTATCCCAGTCAGGTGACAGGGCGGGGTAGTAAACCACCGCCCACTGCGCTACGTCTAGGCGCCGCGGGCGTGACTTACCGCACGTGTGCTCCCCGCCCTGCTAAATCACTCCTAATTTCTGACCCACGGAAACAGCCAGATTATAGCTGATTGTGGTTTTAAGATTCAGTGTTTTCAGGTGTGTGGGTGGCCGTAGCTATAACAAAACACATGACGTGTTGCGATACCAAGCCAGTGCAAACCTTTTCTTCCCTCACTCTGTCCCCCCACTTTTGCCTATTCATCTATGTCTTATAAACTGTACGAATGGGGGTACATCTAGATGATGGCAAAACAGTGAGATTTCTGTGTATATGTATCATTCAATCTCCCAGAGCAAACATGTTCAACTTAAAATATATAATAAATGTCATTTAAAAATATACAGTGCTCTGTCCTATATATGAGAAGCCTCTTTAGTACGGTAAAATTCACTTTTTTCCATTACACATTTCCTTTTTTAAAACAAGTTTTTTATTTATTTTTATTGGGGTGACATTGTATATCCTTCCTAAACTGAATCGTAAAGAACTGGAAAAATCTAAATCCCCTCTTCCCCTCTTTCTAAAAATAAATAAATAAAATATTTAAAAAAATAAAAACCTCCCATTAAAGTAAAGTAAATTTTTCTCCTAACAAACCACATACTTAAAAGTAAGCACTACCTTGAACAAGACTAGATTTCTGAGATCTTGAGACACACACGTTTTGGAAGGAGGAACCTCGGTGGAATCCTGAAGCGGCAGCACATGGTCACGTTCACAGTAATTGCTGTTGTCCAGCAGTAACAGAAACAATTTATTCAATGCTGCCATGAACCAGGCAGTCGAATGATTTTAATCCTCATATTAAGCTATAGGAATAATGAGCATGGCAGTGCCTTTTTGACCATCTCCTGAATGTGTCTTGCTTCGCTTTAGGAAAAAAGTCCCGATTTCCTGCCTTTGTCTTAAAACAATTGCACAATTGCCTGTTAGCAGCAGGCCCACCGGCCCAGGTCTCCCACTAGCGCCTGGGTCTATGCGAGGCTCCTGGGCGGATGGAGCTCAGCCGAGTCCCCGGGGGCTGCCACCTCCACAGCGGGGGATCGCAGGGTTTGAGCAAGCTTGCCTTTAGGCTGAAATACCTGATACTTCCGCCTATTACTTCCGCCTATTAAAAGGGCATAATATAAACATGTCCTGCTACATCCGTAAACACAAGCAAGACTTTCCAATCGTGTCAAATATTTCGGAAAAAAACAAAACAATACAATACAAGGAGTATCCTCTAAACATCCTCAATGCAGAGTAAGGAAAGGGGTCAATGGGTCCATTTTTGGGGTGTGTGTGATTTTCCCCTCCCAATTCCAGGCAAGAACAAAACCAGTACTTGAAAGGACTAGGCAAAGGGCTGAAGTAAACGGTTTAACGGTTGTTGAATACGAGAGTGAAGGAGGCAGATTAGATGTTGGCGGGGTGGTGGTGGGCTCCAATTAGTACACTGTGTCACCATTTTCCTTTTTTTTTTTTCATGTCATGAACTGATTTTATTCAGCTCTTGATTATATTTCCCGTGCGTAGAGCATGTTTCACACTTGGTAACTGACTCATATAAAGAGAATGAATGGCCACATTAACTGAGCTTTCTTTTGAGCAGTTTGCAAGTGCACGCATTTTTTTATTGGTTTTTTTTCCCTTATTTGACGGAGAGAATAATTCTTTGTGGTCAGTTTCATTTTAAGAGGGTAATGTTGAGTGATTTTTCATAATTTTTAAAATTATTCTGTTTTATTGTTTATGCTAGTACAGTGGTCCCAATTTTTCCCCTTCACCCCCTTCCGCCCAGCCTGCCCCCCACTTCCATAGTCAATCCCCACACTGTCTGTCGTCTGTGTTCATTGGTCGTGTATGCTCCTTACTAGTTCCTCCACCTTCTTTCCAACAGTGTCCGCCTCTTTTCTCCCCTCTGGCAGCTGTCAGTCTGTTCCCTGAGTCTATGTCTCTGGTTCTGTTTTGCTCATTGGTTTATTTTGTTTATTAGATTTCTCTTATAAGTGAAATCATATGGTGTTTATTTGAAAAAGGGGGCACAAGCATACGATGGAATAAAGATCACCTCTTCAACAAATGGTATTGGGAGAACTGGGCTGGTACATGAAAAAAATAAAAAAGAAAAAGAAAGAAAAGAAAATAGGCCACCAACTTATACCATACACCAGAATGAACTCAAATTGGGTAAAGGACTTAAATATAAGTCGTGATACCATAAAAACCCTAGCAGAAAACATAGGCAGGAAAATCTCAGATACCTCATGTAGCAATATTTTTGCTGATACATCTTCTAGGGCAAGGGAGAGAGAGGAAAAAATTGACAAATGGGACCACATTAAATTAAAAAGCTTCTGCACAGCTAAAGACACTGTCATCAAAATGAAAAGGGAACCAACAGTGTGGGAGAACGTATTTTCCGATGATACATTGGACAAGGGTTTAATCTCCAAAATATATGAAGAACTCATACAACTCAACACCAAGAAGACAAACATTCTAATTAAAAAATGAGCAAAGGACCTGAACAGACACTCGCTTCTCTGAGGAGGACATACAGAGGGCCTAGAGACATATGAAAGGATGCTCAAGGTCACTAGCCATCAGAGAGATGCAAATTAAAACCACAATGAAATACCACCTCACACCTGCCAGAATGGCCATCATTACTAAATGAACAAACAGCAAGTGCTGGCAAGAATGTAGAGAAAAGGAAACCCTCATTGCACTGTTGGTGGGAATGCAGACTGGTGCAGCCACTGTGGAAAATAGTATGGAATTTCCTCAAAAACTTAAAAATATAGTGCCTTTTGACCCAGCAATTTCACCGCTGAGAATATACCCTAAGAATCCTGAAACACCAATTCAAAATACCCCTGCGTCCATAGCAGTGCAATTTACAACAGCCAAGATCTGGAAACAGCCTAAGTGCCCATCAGTAGATGAGTGGATAAAAAACTGGTACATTTACACAATGGGATACTGTGCAGCAGAAAGAAGGAGCTGCTGCTACCCTTCACAACAGCATGGATGGAACTGGAGAGTATTATGCTAAGCAAAATAAGCCAGGCGGTAAAAAAAACATTCTCCTCTATAGCACAGCCAGTGCGTGGCCCTGTGTACCCCACAGGCTGCTGAAACTTCTGGGCCCCAGGAAATACAGAAGACTGCTGATTTCTCTGCCAATGTCTCTGCCAGCACAGGGCAGCTGGGACACAGCGCGCTGGCTGCCTCAGGGCCCAGCTGGGCCCACTCCAGGACCCAGTCCTCAGCTCTGGGGCTCCAGGACCCTAATCTTCATAGTCTTACGTGAACTGTTGCTGAGTCCCAGGCCGTCCTGGCTTAAGAAGGCATTCCTGGTGGCCAGAAGCGGGCGGGAGAACGGCGACATAGTGGGACACCTGCCCAAGTCACCAGAGGCAGAAAAGAGTGGGGTCCAAATCTGGGCAGGACCCAGTTGGGCCCAGAAGGGAAAGGGCCTACCTTTAAGAAATAATGTTACCCGTGGACCCGTGGCAGGGCAGCAGCAGGGAGGCCGCGAGAATATCTCATATTTTTCTTGGACATCCCAATTTCTGGACCCCATCACAAATACCCTTTGGTAGGGGGTCCTGGCTGTGCCCCATTACAACAAGACTAAGAGACTTAGACCACCCCCCACTTCCGGCCCGAGAGAATAAGACAAAGAAACCTGGCTTCAGGAAGGAGATTAAGGACATTGCCTTCGCCTAAGTGTGAACAGAAGTCTTTAGGACACGCCCTGGTGGCTGGACACTGAGTCACACTGTTTCTGAGTCATCTAGCAAGAATTTTCCTGTTACTTGTGTTCTACTCTTCCTCAACTACCTGTAAATCACCCATTATTGTAACGGGGCACAGCCAGGGCCCCCCTAAGGGTATTTGTAATAAGGTCCAGAAATTGGGGTGTCCATGGAAAATATATTCTCCCCGCACTAAGACAGACTGCACAGGGGATGGGAGACCTGGAGCAGCGCCATTGCCACTGAGAGTTACTTTGTGTATCAGTACCAGGCCAGCTTCCTACCAGAAGCGGAGCGGGGCCACTGAGAGTCATTTGCATGTCAATAACAGGATAGCTTCAGACCTCATATGCAAAGAGGGTTATTTTACATCTCAACAAGGCTAACCAGGAAGGTTCGAAAGACTTAATACAGAACACAACTGAGAGAGGAAGGAGACGAAACAGGGCCAGAGGGGAAAAAAAAAGGGACTCAGTCTCTGGGGAACAATTGAGAGGACCACGCGGGAAGAGAAAGGACTCTTACTAGAGGGCCATGAAAACGTGCCACATGGTTTTGGATTAAGAGCTGGAGATCTACGGCGACGCAGTGGATGGTGCCGGGAACCGCAAAAAGCTGCCTAGCCGAGCCCCGGACTTCTGTTCTTTTCCTTCTGAAGGATGGTATCCCTGACTGGGCAAAGGCAGGGAAGTAAAGACTGTGTGTGTTGGTGGGTGTTTTAAATAGTAGGTGATTTTAAGGGGTTTTGAGATTTAAGGGCAACATTTAGCCATTAATCAAACCGGTATAACTTTTGAATAAATAGTTCCTTTCCTTTTCACCAAACTCTGCCATTGACAGCCATAATTCTAAGGGCTGCAGGGAAAGGACCTACAACCGAGAGACCCCTAGGAAGGTGGGCGGCGCTGTTTTGGTAAGAGCATCTGGGCCCCCGGGCCCGCCCCGCCCCCGCCCCTGGGTCCATTGTCCGGTAACGTCACTTCTGAAGCCTAATTCCTCATCCCCACCATTTCCTCCTTTTTCCAAAAATAT